AATAAATACAATTAAATTTTTGAAATCCATGTATGGAAACAAATATGTATTTTACCTACTCAGATTCATGATAATAATAATGTTATTTATACAGACTAAATAACGTCTACATATATCAAATATAGGATTTTTTCTGTATTGTTTCTTTTTTGTTATTCGAAAGATGTAAATACGACAATCAGGGTTGTTAATAATACAATTCGATTTTTTATCTTTACAAGATACATCTACCGATAGTGCTCAATAAGTTATCCGTTAAGAAAAATACACGAAAGAATATTAGAGACCTGCAGGGAGTCAACTAAATTTTTTGCTGAAAACTTAGTTTTAACATATGAACTTTTTGGTAAGAAGGCTTTGTATTCTGATATTTTCTGTACCAATTGGTGCATTGTAAACGTCCCAATAAAGTCATATAGAAGCATTCGAGCACGAAACAAAGTTGAAGCCAAATTCAACTCTGACTTTCTTCTTTCATGTCTGTCAGCCTTGATAAGACGTCGTTGGAATGTTCGAAAGCCGCCAATTTGTACAGTAAAGATCAAAGAACAAAACTTACTATTCAAAAAAGTTTACATATTAAAACTGAATTTTCAACAAAAAATTTAGTAGACTCCATGTAAGACTCTAGTATAATATCTATTATTGTGTTTTGAAGAAAAAAACTTTTCAAATTGAAATATTTCTCATTAATCTCGATGAAATACACATTGTATCAATAATAAGACTTGATTTGACTTATATTTTGATGAGATTCAATAATATGATGAAATTCTTATTTCTTAACAAGAATGTTAGCATTGATCTTTCATCGGAAAAGAGGATATGGACAAGTTGATCTTCATATGGTAATACTAGAACAATAAATGTCGAAAGCAGATCGCATATCTAATTGCTTCCATATTAATTCGAATATTTCATTCATGTGAACAATTCTTTTCAGAGCGACATATTTGATAAAGTTTGAATCTTGTTGATGAATGATATACTTCCTTTCAACTATCAATTCTTCAAACTTTGCTTATTTCAAAGAATGATTTATATGTAATAATCAAACACAAAAAGACGAGCATAATTATGCTGAGCAATTTCTCTTTAATAAAGAAAAAAAAAGTTCATTTGCCTAGTTTACAAATATTCAGTATCAAATAAAAAGTACTTCCAATAGTGACAAACAATTTCATCAATGATGTAGAATGTCTCAATTACACTAAATTGAAAAGTGTTAATGAAGGTGTATCGTTTTATTTGATCAGAAAACGTTCATCCATGTTTTCCTTTATTATGAAGATAACTTTATTTTTTTTTATAAAAGTTTGTTAACGTTAAACATGCTGTGATGATACTGATAAGAAAGAAAATATTTCTCATATTTACTATACTTCAACAAAGATTATGATTATTTTGGTGTTAAATATTGGTTATTTATCTATGGCGTAAAGAATAACATAAATATTATCATTTTTATTAACAATAATCATTTTCTCTTATTTAATATAGAACAACTAAAATATGTTCTTATGTTATATGTAGAGCGAGTCTTGAAATTAGAATAATCTCAAGAGGATTCGGACTTATAACTCGTCTTGAAAGAATAATGATAGTTTTGCTTGATTTTTTCCTATACGACGGAGTATTGGCTGGAAAATTTTTGATTTGAAATTTTGTTGATAATTAGATTTCATGATCCTAAGAATGTTTTTAGGATTAGAAGACCTAATTAATGACAAAATTTCAGTTGAAATATGTTCTGTTTAAAAATCTCCTCGAGATTATCTCAATAAGGACAAAATGAAGCTCATAAAATTTCTTAAATTTCACTTAGAAAATCAAGTTGCAGATTTATTTTCTTGAATTAAAATGTCAATAAACCAAGTGGTCATGCTGGTACATATCCAGCTCATTCAACATTTCCTAGTAAGAGAAAAAACTTCATTTTGTTTTGTATATGATTTTTTTTTCTTTGGATTCAAATATCAATGTACCAAGTGGTTCTAGTGCTAGTTCGGTCCACTCAACATTTACTGGTAAGAGAAAAAAATTGTTTTTTCTATGTATATCATGTTTTCTTTTTCTTTAGATTTTGACATTAATATCATTAGTCCATTGCAACAAGATACAATTGGTTCAGGAAATCTGCTGACACCTGATGGACGAACTATTGATGATGCTATCGATGATGAAGAAGAGACAAAAAGTTGACTTTTTGTATGAAAAAAAAACTTTTATGGAATAAAAAAAAACTGGTGTTGTATTACGTCCCTTCTTATCTTATTGATGTGTATTACAAAACGTGAGCATTTAAGTTTAAATATATCAGCAAATCATTTTGATTTAAATCATGAATTTCAATTTGATCAGAAGACTAAACATTTGATTTTAATGCATGAATGTAGATTTAAAAAAGTGAAGATTGTGTCATGACTTATTTTTATGCTGTAAAATAGTATAGAAACGAGTGTCCACCTCATGTTTCTTTAGCTTTAACAATATTTTGATATTTGTATTGGTTATGTAAAACTTAAATAATTTAATTTTAAGTTTTAGTCGATTTATTTAATTAATTAAAAGTCAGAATTTTTCAACATAAGGAAAATATGTATGGAAATGTTTAGAAACATTCCATTTGTCAATATTATATATATAATTAATTTTGGCACAGTTGATTCGTGTTGTATCTCTTGTGAAGTTGTTAGTTACCTTTTGAAGAGAAGGATAATAGACATCAAGACTAATATAATTTGATAGACATGTTTTAGTATGAATTAGAAATTGTTCGATGTAATCATTATGAGCGCTATTGAGAGAGAGCAGAGTAAGATGAGCATATTTAATAACTGGCAAACTGCGACGATCTTTGTTTAACTGTTGACGTTGTTTGTGTTTTTGTGGTGACTCATTGTCAATAGACAATGTTCTAAGCAATGGAAATGATTGAGCAATTCGAATGAAGAATTCGTGTTCAAAAGGATGTTCATCATATAGTGAGACTTTATGAACAAATTTGAATAATCCACCTGGAAAACTATTTGTAAGTCGATATAAATAATTCATTGTATACGGTTGTGAATACATATGACATTGACCAATACAATCATCTGGAAAATAATGAATATAAGAAATGATTTGATAATCTTCGAGACCTTTAAATGTACGTTGAATATCTTCATTTGATGGCAAATGTGTTAAATCATCAACATTTAAATTTGAATGAATACTGAATACGAATTTATTTAACTTTGGCATATGACTCATAATATCTATTTTCAAATAATTTCCATCAATGAATGATTTAATAGGAGTACTACGACCGATGGAGACATTCAAGAATAGTTCTTCTAGATTAGACATTCGATGGAGGAGAGGTACCATTGATTCTTCATAAAACATTATTTCTAAGCCACAAGTCAATGAAAAACATTTCAAATGAATTAATTCTTTCTAAAAAAGAAAAACAAAATAAAATTCCTTAGTTTTCTTAATTCTAATAAGCTACCTTGTTAATAATTGCTTGTGATGGAGGAGTAAACAAACGAATATCAACATAGAAAGTACGAAGTTGTTGGAAACGACCATCAAGCAGATAAAGACAATCAGTAAAATCGTCGACATTGATATGTAATTCCATTAAATTTGAAGAAAAAAAACTTGCAGATTTTATTGATTCGAAAGATAATCGTTCACTAAAGTCAACATAAATATCGGAATATGGATGAAATTTTAAGCATAGTAAATTGGTGCACATAGTTAAAACATAAGTACACACTATATTGATTATGTTTGATATTGATCCTATTATTTCATTTTTAGCAATTGTAATAATCAATGTTTTAATATGATTTTTAAAGATGCGATCTAGATGAGTTTTCTCTAAAGACATTTAAAAAAATCCTCGTAGTATTATTTTAAAATCAAAGCTCGATAATTGGTTACTTTCGATGTCGATCTTTATGCTATCTTTCTGTTGTTAGATTTCTTCAATCTCTTAATATTTATTTCACTTTTATTTATAACTAAGTTCAAAAATAGATTGACATAAACAATTTGCAATGACGTACTCAATTATATTAAAAATTACTATGTTATTCATCTTCATGTAAGTTCCATAGTTTGGTGATTAAATCAGTAGAAATGAAACTGCTTACCACCAAATAAACGTAAAATTGTATCACGTTCAATATTGAAAAGAGAAAGTCCATGTAAATTAGGATAGTCAGCAACAAGAAGAATACGTTCCATACATAATGGTTCTAGATCAAGCCACTTGATTTTATAATGAATTTTAGGCAATATATATGAACAAAATCGTTCAAGTATTGAATCATCTAATGAATTGATAATACCATTCGATGAACGTTTCATTAATGTTAAATGTTCGGTAAAGATAGGATCATTTACGATTTTATCAAGTCGTATGTTAATGCCTATTAGAGAATATAGCACTTCGATATTGGTTAATCTATTCAAGATCAATAAAAGTATTTCATCGGGTATATTTGTTAGTCGGACATATAAATCTCCCATGTTCATTTCTATGTCAATTATTTTTTAACAATTACTTATATACACTCTCGCTCTATTTTACCCGCTGACGTCAGCAAGGAGAAAGAATCATCTATTTCTATATAATCTGAGTTAAAAATAAATAAGTCAATGACTGACGTTTTTTTCTCACTCATTTACTCGACAATTCTAATGCATGCTGTTTCTTTATTCATAGAACAGTACATATAGTGATCTAGTTTCAATGTTGATCATGTATGACAGATGAACATCAGAAAATTAAAAAAACAAAAATTTGTTTTGTAGATATTGAGTATCTATTCCTAGATACAATATGACTTCTTTCTTATATCAATTGTATAGATTTTTATTCAATGTCATGCATGTTTACTTGTAATATTAGAAAAAAATGAAATAACTTGTCTCTCCAGTAAGGAGATTTATAACAAAAAAATGCCAGGATTCAAAATAATATTTTTTGTGAAAAACAAACGAAAGAATGGTTAGTTCTCGTGTCGTTAAAAGTTTAATTGATTTTCTTGTTTCTTCAAAACAGAAAAAAAAGAATATAAACAGGTAGAACATTATTATAATTGACTATATTTTAGTTTAAAATAATAATTATGAAGAATACACAATAATTATAGAGAGACCTACTGAAAACCAAATTACCCCTTTCAGTGCCACCGTACTAAGTATAGTACGATTTTTTCAAATTTCTTAATCTTTGAATAACTCGCGAACGCGAGATGATATCGAAGTGCGGTTTTCTCTGTGACATAAAAGAGACTTCGATGCATACATCTATACAAGGGTTATCGCCCTAATGAGGTCACTCTGGTAGTAAGTCTGATGGATCTTTGGAACATCACTTCTATTCTAAAAAGAAGAAGAGCGGATAATGTCCTTCTGCGATCCACGAAATACTTCGATTTTTCGTGTTGAAATCAAATTAGCAGTGGCTTGTAGTGATATTCCAAAGGTTGATTTGACGACAGTTCTCAATCGAATTTTGACTCATACCCGTACACTCCCACAGGGACGGCCAATATACTTCTTCGCCATCCCTGTGGGGGAGTACGGGTATGGATCGAAAATGGTTTTAAAGATTTTTTTGAAAAGTTTTGATGAAAATATCAACAATGCTTAATGGCCATATAAAATATAAAGTCTCAAAAAAATTTCGTCCATTGGTTTAGCTATAGGTCGGAAAGGATTAAATGACATATTATGCGATTAAATTATTTCTTTTAATAATAGTGATATAAACAAAAGAAACGTAATAGTTAGGGTGTGGGTGCAAAGGATAGTTCCACCCACACATTAGATGCTACGTATTGCTTTATATAATTGTGTTACGTTCCACACGATGAATTAAGAGTTAATTAAAAAATACTAGTCAATTTCGAGAATTTTAACAATCACGTTTCTTGTTCTGTTTATATCACTATTATTAAAAGTGATAATGTCATCGGATAATATGCGATTTAAAACATCGTCCTAAATATTCGAATTTCATATAGATGTAATTAGGCAGAGATCACTCTTTGTTTACACATAAATTAATTTTTGTTGATACTCAGAACTTATGGGACATCACTTTATATGGCTTCCTTTTTATTAAATAACAGTTTATTATGTAAATAAGTGAATATAAAGAAAGACAAAAGACACATTTCATAAACAATAAACAAACATATAATCTATTGCAAAATTTTTATTTTTAAAATACATTGTATTTAAACGGGTAGAATATAGTACAAACAAAAAATGAAGTTCAATACAAACGGAACTCGAAAATCTCATATTACTGATCGAGAAAATAACTAGCTGCACACATAGCATAATCTTCAATTATTTCAACATCATATTCATATTCAACTAATTGATTCAGTTCATTTCCTGTCATAGAACGCGTATTCTGTAAGATGTGTCCTACAGATAACCTATTCTGTGCTGCACATACAGGAACAGGACAATCTCTTTTTCGGACACCGCGGTACTCAGAAGAACTGGCGGTTTCAGAAGGTTTTTTACTAATAGAACTTTTTACATCATCACCATCTATAATAAAAATTTATCTCATAGTGAGGCCGTGACTAGTGTAATCGGCTTAGTAGTATCAACATTATCAGCGGTCACCAAAATTGACTCAGTTTTGTCAGGTTTTAATAGACTTCAAAAATATTCACCCATTTTGATACAATACTGTCAAAAAAAACCTGGCAGTAATTATCACATGGAACCTAAGTCACCTAATTGATCGTGATTCAATGAACTTCTAGTCTAGTACTGGAATTCGTCGTGATACTTTCAGTATTATCAGTAGTAGTCAGAAGAGTACATGCCATACTGGCCAGTAGTGTTTCGGTAGAAAGATTGTTTAACTCAGCTTATTTGTTTCATTATTGTTTTGTTCATCTTATGAATGTCAAGTATTTTTTTGTTGTTCATTTCATTTCTACTAAAAAATATATGATAAGATTTATTAACATGACTTTTGTAAAAAATAGTACGTCTATGATATTCAGACAAGTTTTTATCCTGGTCAAAAATGCAATGAAAAACTCGTCCTGTTGGCTGGTGACAGGAAAGAGTCCTTTGTTTTGCAAGATGTGTTCTACCACGATAAAGAAAGTTCTGTTTCCTACTTAAAACTACTGTTCAAAATTTCGCCGAAAGTTGTATGAGAAAAAAAATGAAAATATTCATAGTAAGTGTGTCCAGATATCCTTCATGCATGATTCCTATGAGTATGGAATAATAAACTAATTTAACCGTTTATCTTTTGTTCGATTTGGACTACGTGGTATTGATCGTGATGATGAATTAGATGGAACGGGAATTCATGAAATAGGTTTTCGAGTTTCTATATTTGTTATTTTATTTAAATAGATGGAACTCATTCAACTCAGCAACGTGGATGATCATTCGTTTTGACTACTTTAAGGTCAATGAAACGGTGACTGGATGAAATAAAGATTTTCAGTATAAAAGATAACAATGTTCTATGTCATTTGAATGCATTTCAAAATAAATTTCAATTGGTTGATATCGTTGCGTCAATGACAGGCTTTTGAAGAAATAATCAGTGAAGATAACTATCTGTCATTCCAAATTACTAACGCACAGACGGACAAAAGATATTTCTGTATTATCCAGTTAACATTCTGTTAAAACAATTTGAGCGTCCTTAGTACAGTCAAATGTAGAATTTTATTCTAAACCAAACTAAATCTATGCAAAGACAAAGATTGAGTCATTTACATTGTCTCGAATGAAAAATAAACGAGTAGATGATTATTACTGCGTTTGTTCCCTAATATTTATTTGAACAAAGGCAGCAAGCAAAATCTAGGAATCTGCCATGAGACATCCATTATTCCCATAGAGAAATTTGAAGGGCGGAAAAAACAAAAATCAGCGCAAAACCACGAGAAGGATCTGAAAACTTTAGCCAGTATTGTAATAGTTATTATTGATGTACGTTCATTGAACATACAATTTAAGGCTCTCGCAGGCATTCTTCAAATGTTTTGAACATTAGCTCGAATAAAACAACGACATTTACTAGGATGGGTGTGAGTGTGGATGTGGGTGGATGCGTGTGAATGTGAATGAAAAGAAGGTCCACACGTACCCATATCCACATTCTACTACACAACCATAACCACAGCCACAGTCACACCTACATTCACACCCACACCCTCGGCCAAAGTTCAACCAACGATAGCTGAATTCAACGCACTAGTAGAAAACCATGAACACTTTACTCTGGGTATAAAGATCGGTTCTGGATATCGATGTCGGCTTACGACTTGCTCAAGAGGAGACACTGAAATTCACACTCATACTATGAGACATGATATAGTCCCACAGATTCATCCACATCCATATCCTGACAATCTTGATTACAACTAGAATTTAAGAAACGCTGCATTTGCTCAGGAAAACTACAAAAAGATTCCAGTCGAATACTTTCTGTAGAAACTCCTGCTAAGAATGTTGATTGCTTGAGCATTTCATTCTTGGTTTTTACTTTTGTGAAAAATAGCCTAGAACGATTCAAGAGAAATTCGTTTGCTTGAATGAAACGAGTTTGACAAAAAGCTTCGGTCTGACAAGTGAATTTTAGAAGTCTTCGTAGCTAGTAGTAATTATATACTACAGTTGCGTCCACGACATAGCCATGAGTCTGTTGCTTATACCCACATATAGTCATGAGCATGACTATAATTTAATAGTTAACGCACAACTCTTGTGAGATATTCAGCTAAGTCAAAAATGTCTCTGTTGTGTCGCTGTCGCTCGTTTGGTGGTCTACTTTATAACAGAAAATTAGCATTCGTCTCAAGTACCAATGGTGATAATTGTCCTTTACTTAATAAACTTGCTTTTCCCAACCAACAATAATCAGAACCTTCTGGTCCATGTATCTGAACGCCAGTAAACAAGGCATGTTGTCGATCTTTAAAATTTTTTGCGTCATGTCGAGCGTGTTTTTCTAAATCAATGGTGATCGTTTCGTAAGCAGCCATTGTCACTTTGAGTAAATCCGGGGCATTTGTGGCATCGGTTGAAAGGCCACTCTTGTTAATGATATGTTTCTTTAGCATGCTCATTTCAATATCATTTTTATCAAAACTAAGATTCAATTTATTCGATACAATTTCCGCAGTGAATGCAGCGAGAGCTCCACATGCCGTCGTTTTTTTATTCATACCGCTACGTGTTCTGTAGATGGAGCCAACTATACCTTCATGGTCGATAGCAATATGCGTAAAACAGTAATAAATGATACAAGCGGTGTCAGGTGCATGATGATGTGCAGCATCGAAACCAGTATTGCCACAGAACAA